AAGATCGACTTGGACAACTTGGAGAACTTGGACACGGACAAGTTGCGTGCCATGCAGATCGAGCAGTTGAACAAGGACAGAAAGAACTTGGAGGAGAAGATGAAGGTTGTGTTCAAGAAGGCCGACCATCTCGAGAGAGCCTACAGAAAGCACGAGTTGAAGTTCTTGGCCGAGGAGGCTGCCACCCAGAAGGAGAGAGACGTCAAGGCTCACGAGGAGCTCACTCGCAGCAGAATCGAAAAGGCCCGCAAGGAGCACGAGAACGCCAAGGCATTGAAGGAGCGTTTGAACCGTGTGGTGCCCGACTACTCTTCGTTCAAGAAGCAGATCGACGAGCAAAACGCTGCCAAGTTGGCTGAGTTGAGAGAGGAGGCCAAGGCCGCTTTCGAGCAGGCCAAGCGCGAGCGTATTGAGAACGTCAAGCAGCAGAGAATCGAGGAGTTGAGACTCAGAAGAGAACAAGAGCATCATGCCGCCGAGGAGGCCGCTCGTAAGCAGGCCAGAGAGGCCGAGATGGAGAAGTTCCGTGAGGAAATGAGAGTCCAGAAGGAAAAGGATGCCGAGTTGGCCCAAAAGAGAGCCGCCATGGAGGCCGAGATGGCCCAGCTGGCTCCTTCCGCTGCTGCTCCAAAGACTTATGTTCCACCTCGCCAGGCCGCTGGTCAGCAAGCCTACACGCCACCTCTGCGCCAGGCAAACTACACCCCTCCAGTTCGCCAGGCTTCTCCTGCTGCCCCACCTCCAGCAGAGGCACCTGCTGCCGACAAGCCATTGACGTTTGCCCAGAGAATGAAGTTGAAGAGAGAGGGCAAGCTTGCTTAAGCACAGGGATAGAATTGTCATATAAGTCATGGAAGATGCATGTGGTGCCGGTGTGATGCATCATGTACCGAATAAATATACTTTTGAAGGGCCAGGTAGGCATATTTTGGGATTGATATTAAACGGAATTTGTGTATTGGTTCAATCTCTGTATTTCCACTTTTCAGACCGTTTGCAGCCATAGCGGAATATCCACCTGCAAACCAGCGGCCTCGGACCCTCTCTAAGGTACTCCGAGCCACCAGTAGTAGCCTCCAAAAACGTTATTTCTTCTGTTCATGTACTACAACGGCATCGAATCTCAAACAGCCAATCTTCAAAATTCGAACACCCCAGATCAATGAGTGCTCGCTGGGGTTCTCCAGAAGTTCCTCGCATATTGCCTAAACCAGCCCCATTGTGTGAGATCTAATCCACCTCACCTCATCCTTCCACTATCCAGTCGCACAGCAACTTCTTTTCTTCATGATTACCATCGTTGGTTCGCTCAATTACGATCTCGTCACTTACACGGACAAGGTGCCCGACGCTGGCGAGACGTTCCAGGCCAACACCTTCGAAAACCACCTCGGTGGAAAGGGTCTCAACGAGAGCTTGGCCTGTGCGAGGCTTTCGAAGCTGGAGACCGTGAGAATGGTTGGCAATGTCGGCGCCGATACTTTTGGCAAGGAATTGAGACAGGCGCTTGTGGATGCCGGTGTCGATACGAAACATGTTGCTGTTTTGGACGGCTTCTCGTCTGGTGTGGCGGTCATTTTGGTGGAGAGCTCTGGAGAAAACAGAATCTTGATCACAGCAGGCGCAAATGGAGAGTTGAAGCCTACGGAGGCAAACTACCAAGACTACTTCAAGGACTCCAAGGACGGCGATTTTGTCGTTTTGCAAAACGAATACCCGGACACAACCAAGACAATTGACTGGGTCAAGCAGCACAGACCCAAGATCAACATCGCCTACAACCCATCCCCATTCAAGGAGCTTCTGCCCGAGACCTTGGCCAAAATCGACCTACTTATAGTCAATGAGGGTGAGGCATTGGACGTTGGCGCTCAGGTTTTCAGTGGAGCCGATTTGGACGATTTCAAGACCACAATTGCATCAGACGAAATCGACGGTTTTGGCCGTTTGGCCCGCAAGCTCCAGGGAATGATTGACCAGACGAATGTGGCCTCCGTCATCATCACCATGGGCAGCAAAGGTAGCATTTCAGCGTCCAAGACGGAGGAGCCTGCGTTCACAGCATCGAAGAAGGTTGAGAAAGTCATTGACACTACAGGCGCTGGAGACACATTTTTTGGTGGTGTTGTTGTGAAGCTCAGCGAGGGTGCTAAATTGCAAGACGCTGTTGAATTCGCTACAAGAGCCAGTGCATTGGCAATCCAGAAGAAAGGTGCCGCTGAGGGTATTCCAGGTTACCAAGAGGTGGAGGCCCTGTTTTAGAGGCTGGACCGACACAAAACAATAAATAGCAATGGGTCCAGTCTCTCAGGTATCCCTTCTGCCTGTTTAATGAAAGCTAGGTATACCAGAGCCTTACCTACTGGGGTGTAGCAAATGAATCTAATTAAGAACTATTAAGCGGCAAGACCGCATGGTCTATATTGACTTTATTTTCTCTTGCGGAGAGTCTCTGGGGCAGGAGAGTCTCTGTCGGAAGTGGTAACGTACTCGTTGACCTGAGCAGCAACACCACCAGAGACAGACTTGACTCTCTTGGATCTTCTGGAACCCTTCTTCTTGTAGACGTCAATGTAGAACGCAATGAACAAGACGAGGTAGGAGGACAAGATGGCACAGCCGCAGTAGGCAGCGCCCATGGAGCCAGCACAGTCAGCGCATCTGAACAAAAGGCCCTGCAACAGAGGGAAGTAGGCGAAAGCAAGCTTCTGGAAGGTGGCGAAGTAGACGAAACCCAAGTCCAAGACGAACTGGATGATCTGGAAACGGGTGACCCACTCCTTCCACCAGACACGGATGCCTCTGGCGGCCAAGAAATAGTACCAGTACATCACCACGTGGACGCCCAAGTTCAAGGTGATGGGCACCCAGGAAATAGGGGTCTCGCCGATCAACTGGGTGTAGCACAACAAGGCGGTAGCACCATGGTGGTAGGTGTGCAAGAATGTCAATCTCTTCTGCTTGACCACCAAGAACACGGTATCGATGAACTCAGTGAACTTGGTCAAGTAGTTCAAGTAGTACAAGAGAACGAGCTCCTGAGTCCACGCGTTAGGGCTGCAGATGGCGTAGAACAAGCCGTGGTTGTAGATGATGGGGATGAGCTGCTCAGCCATCAACACCAACAATGTCAAGGACAACAGCGTGAGGAACAAGTTGTGGAGCTGGAACAAGCCGTTCAAGACAAGCGGCTTGATGCCGAACTTCTTGAAAATGAAGTTTCCGCCGAAAATAACAGTGTAGTACGTGGCGATGGCAGCAGCCACTGGAGGGAAGGTGCTCAAAGGTGTTTGACCAATGACAAAGGCGAACTCCGAAGGAACGAAGCGGCCGCCCAGGGCAGCAGTCACAGCTTTATCAAAGAGCGGCCACAAGGGCACGAGAAACGGCGTTTCGGGCGACAACATGGAAAAAACGGTTGTTGTTGGTAGGTCAAAAAAAGTCAAGGTGAAGAGTGCTATGTGTGGAGGATGCAGGCAGCGAAGGCAGAGAAGCGCAAGGCAACAACAAGAAACGCAGGAGGGGAGCACTGGCGGGATAGAAAAAATAAAGGGGAAACGCCAAAACGGGGAGACGAGAGAAGTAATGTAAGTGAACGAAGCTTCTTTGATTAGGAAAGTTTAAAGTAAATAGGGGTAAGGTAAGCAACCACCTCGCGTGTTGGACCGAGGTAAACATGGTGCACGTCGCGGTGCGGTGGGGCATTACAAGACCATGATTTTGGAGGCAGCGTGGAGGTGAAATTTCGTGTTTTTTTGACTGAGGAGAGGGTCCAAGCCACGATACTAGTTGAACAAAAAAAGCAGAAATGAGGTTGCTGATGCTTGATAGGGGTTCTTTTTGTGTGATTCACATTTTTCAGTGGTACCTTGGCGATGGCCGTTTTGCACCCATTGTGTTCTGCGGAGCCAGCAGACGCCATTGGTTTTGTGCTACTCGGGCCATTTTGCCGACCGTGCCGAGATAGGCATTTTTCAAAGATCAGACCCATTTGCTTTGGTGGAGTTTTTAAAAATTGCGTTGATATTCTTACCCCACTTTTTGCTCCCGTAAAATGCCTTTTTGTTTGCTTTGTGTCTGCATTGCGTCTTGGTCTTCTGCGCCAGGGTCCTGAGCCTCACTGTTCTACCAGCACAGTCAGATTGAACCTTTTGATGTCTTTTCCAGTTAGTTGCTCTATATGTAACCAGCCTTTCATCTTATGACCCTTTGTTCTTCTCATGCGATGAGGCTGCACCTCAGGCCATTGTTCACCCTGCGAGTCACCGACAGGCTATTCGTCATGGTGAATTTTCAGAGTGGTGCAGAGGCTGGTGTCCCGACGTCTGTTTGAACAATGAAGTCAACAAATATGTACCTCTTTTTTTGGGTCGCCGTGGCTCTGAGACATGCTGGGGCTCGGAATCAGAAGGTGACTCAGATGACTCAGCCCAATTGGGCAATGCGGTTCATGGTTACATTGGAGTTAGAGGGTACTGTGGAGGAACTCGGGCCACAACAGGCCGTAGCGGGAATTGAGTATCACGGTAGAGTTCAGTAGGGAAAAGTGTAGCAGAATATTGTTTCGCCTTGAAGAAATTTAGGGTAAGTCGTTAGTAGGCGCCCAATACTGGCCTTATTCTAACAATTAACTTGAGAAGACCAAAGGATGATAACTGGATAGCCTCGTGGTAGCTGAACAGTGGATGTCGCTTTTTGATAGTGAAAAACGCTCTGTAAAACAACGTTTCAGGCTGTATTTAAGAATCAGTGGATTCGTGTTGCAATGTTCACAGTGAGGAAGCTGGACCACTTATATGTCACCACTTGGACTACAACCAGCCAGACTAAGACAGCAAAAGCATACACCACCCTCCTTCAAATCCAATTCTCTAATCTCAATACCATTCTTTTTAATCTTTCTTGCCAATTGTCATTTCAACGACCTAGCCTGTTCTCACATCAAATATCCACAAACTCGCCGTCCTACATCCTACTCGCATATCTAAGATCTCAACTACATGGAACTTGATACGGATCTAGGCCGAACCCTTGAGCCTTTCCTTCCCCCTATAACCCAGAAATCAACGTCAGCCAAAGACACCAACAGCGTTGATGCTACTTCAGACGTGAACCTCCCATTTATTACCCTTACCTGGGCTCAGAGTCTTGATGGTCGAATAGCTGCAGGCAGTGGAACACGAACTAGGATTTCTGGCCCAGAAACCAAGGTCATGACTCATTACCAACGATCTCGCCATGACGCTATTCTTGTGGGTGCAAACACGGCCGTGACCGACGATCCAAAGCTCAATTGTCGATACCCAGAAACGGGAGTTAATATGATACGGCCCGTTATAGTGGACCCATCAGCACGTTGGACATATTCGTCATCTACTGCTAGGAAGGTTTTGCTAGAAAAACAGGGCATTGCACCTTTTGTGTTGATAAGGATGGATACTAAGATACCCACTGAGGAAGAGGACTTACTCAATGGTGACGGAGGTCAGTTCATTCGTTTGGACTTTCCGAAAGATCCTAGGGAAAACTGGCTCCAAATCTTTCAAAAACTTTGTTCGCTTGGGATCCAAAGCGTCATGGTCGAAGGTGGTGCGTTCGTCATCGAATCGCTTCTTACTACGAACTTGCCTGATTCGGTAGTGGTTACTATCGGCTCAGTCTTCTTGGGCAAAGAGGGAGTGTCAGTGAGTCCAAAAGCCGTCCAGACGTTGAAGGACGTTGTCTGGTGGAGAGGTCAAGAAGACGCAGTCATGGCATCGAGACTTACGAGTAAATAAACTACACATGATTTCCTCCAAATCTTTATTATCGACTTTTATGCTATAATACATCACAAGCAGATTCTGTACGATGCGTACCGACCCGAGGTCTCGGACCGTCTGATGATCTTGACAACGTCTCCTCTTTTCAATCCCAAGTAACGGGCCACAGGATCTTCTCTCTGTATACGTGGCAACTGGGACTCCTTCAAACGATATCTGTCCAACAACTCCTTCTTCTCGAGCTTGGACAAACGGATGTGCTTGGGCACCAACTCATGGTGGGTGATGTTGACGATGAGATCGCTCTCCTGGAAAACCTCAATCGTGGCTGGTGCAACAGTGGGGATCAACTTGTTTGCACTGGGCGTTATCGAATTCTGGTAGATAAAGATACCTGTGCTGAAGTTCTTTTCGCTGATGTGAATACAGAAGTTTCTCATGGTCTTGATACCAACGGAAGCCTCGTCACAGAACTCAACCCACAAAGAACCCATCTCGGGGAATCTCTCCAAAGCCTCGGGCGTAAGTTGGGCCTGGAAACACATCAACTTCCTCTGGGGGTCGCCCATAGGACAGATTTTGCTTTTGAACTCATCTAAGGTCATGTTGATCTCCTCGTCCGTAATGAAGTAGCCCTTGTCTCTAACCATCTCCTTCACCGTCCTGAAACTTCTCCACAAACGGGAGATTGATCTTTCGACGTCATCCATGGCTAATCTATGTTTTGACCCGGATGTGCTCTGTCAGTGCGCTTCTTCGTACTTTCTCATCTCAAAAATTTCTTGTGCGCAGCACGCCCGCCATATAGAAGGCTGGCTCACGAATCGAACTTTCTCCGGAAGAAAAGCTCAATGTCGCTGCTGGACTTCCAAATTTTGGTTTTGATGGTTTGGAGGGTCATTGTAGGTTCGAGAATTTGGCCCCTACACTCAAGCTCAAGCCATTCGGCGGGGCGCTTCTTCTCTTTCATTTCTGATGTTCTGGATTCGAACTTCTCGGTAACGTAAAGTAAGACCTTGTTCACACGAAGCATATTTTGGGATGTAAGCTTCAAAGAGCTTTCAAGAGGTGGAAGTCTCTTGATTTTTTTCTGAGCCTTTCCGCCGATCTTCTTATCCGCTGGATACTTCGAATAGTCTGCCTCGAAGAGCTGGAAAGCCACTTTCGGCCATTCCTTCTGAGGAAACTTGTTGAATAAGATTGGGTTACCGATCCACTTGGGAAGTGTTTGTCTGAGTTGCTGAACGAGGTGGCACTTCGTGCTATTCAGTTGCACGGGGTAATTCAACTCTGTGATCTCGTCTAAGTGGAAGCTGCAAACATCTCTATAATTGCCCAAATCCTGTGAATTCTCGAAGACAATGATAAGCAAATTTCCTGGAAGCTTCATGACAGGAATGAATGGACAATAAAGGGAACCCTCGTCTTTCCCATTCACGGCAATGTCATTAGAATAGAGAAACATTTCGGAGGGCGCCACCCTCTTACTCCCATTTTGACCGTAGAAGTCAATGTACTTCTGTCTGTTTTGCAGAATCAACTTCAAAATAGAGTCCTCGGCGATGTTCTGGTCAGAAATGCTGGATGTCTCCGTCAATGTAAGAGGATCGTCAGCTAAATCACTGATAGCACTGCTGACAGAAGGAGCTGGGCTGAAAGCTGGCTTGGCCGAGAGCAGGGAAACATTCGCTTTTGATGATTTTCTAGAGAACAACCTCTTCCGCTTTGTCTCTTCCACAGTGCTGGAAACTGAGCTCAGGTCTACCTCAGAACCAGTCCCGCTGGTTTTGAGTTTAGTGGCACTGATTCTGAGCTCTTCTCTTGCCTTTTCATCACTCTTGAGTTCATAGAGAGCGTATTGGTGAAAAATTGAATTAAGAAAGATGAGGGCCAAAGGATAACGCTCATCATCACTTGCTCTGGCCATATGCTCCTTCGCCGGTTCATTCTTATCTAGCGCCATGAAAGGGTACAGTTTCACCATCTCATCGTAATAAATCTCGACATTTGGAGAAGATGTTTCCACAAATGAAACAAGTAGTTTTCCGGATCTAATCTCCACCTCGCACCAATTGCTGAAAGTATCCAACGTTTGGTTTTCTTGAGCAATTTGGTCCATAACCCGAGCACGCTCTTTAAGCTCATCATCTGAAAGCCGCTTGTCGCTTCCAGTCTTGCTTGGGTATGATTTTATCACCTGGCAAATGAATACATCCCAGATACAAATGTCTCCATTGTGATAAAGAACAACCATCCAGCGCTTGTTGTTGAGCATTTTCTTCGCAACGATGGACTTTGGGCTCAACGGAAAACGTTCTATAGCCTCTGAGTTGAAAGCAATGGATATCACTTGACTCGCAGGAATTGGGTTGAGGAGAATTTCCACAGGAGTTTTGTCAACTGTCAGAGTCTCCTGGGTCTTCAAGCCTTTGAGCTCTTCCTTGTATGCGTTCACAAATTCGGTAGAAGGGCCACCGTTAATGCACAAGAACATGGAGTTATACTCGGCGTTTTCATCAACTTCGCCCTCTGCATTTGTCACAGACATTGGGTAGTTGGAGAAAGATGATTGAATGTCAAGATTGTTTGTGTCCATTGATAAGTGGCTGACAATGTCGTAGAATTCGGAATTAAGGTCTGACTGGTCAGTCGTTGTTCCCTCAAGAACGCCCTGATGATCATCGTCGACTTGGGCATCAAGGTTAACGCAATAGTCCACGCAGGTCCTGTAATACTGGTATTTAGCCATCTGTCGTGTATCAGGAACATAGTACCGATTGAGGGCATTGTACGTTGAAGCAAAGATTGATGTGTCCTTCTCCACACAAAGTGAAACGATGGGCGAGCATGCCTTGGCTACCAAGGTACAGAGACCAAGCTTCTCATCCACCACTGTCAAATCGGAAGTGCTGAAAGTTGGCTCTACCATCTCTTCCTCTGGTACGTACAGCGAAAGGTAGTTGAGATCTGTCTTCACCACATTGCCTGCCTTGTCTCCAGAGTAGAATACTGAGAAATCGGCATTTCCGTCCAGTAGCCCCGGAGCCAGTGCATAAGGGGTCGTAAGACTCCAGACCGGGTCATCGTGCATCTCAAAATTCTTGTAGACTTTGAAATTGCGCATATCCCAGAGTTTGACGGTGGAGTCTGAGCTTCCACTGAGGATGTAGTCGGAATTCATCAATAGGCAGCGCACATTGTCCTGATGCCCCACCAAGCGTTTGATGAGGTTTGCACCACCTTCACGACTAATTCTGCGATCGTAAACGTTAATCGTGTTGCTTGGTCCACCCGCCGAAATCAAGTTACTCTGGTTGTTGGCCAATGCGTACACTGAAGACGGAAGGTGTGGTTTGCCCGACTGGTTTTGGAAATGCAGAATGGGCTTTAACGTCTTGAGGTCCCAGATTGCAATTGCACCGTCGAGAGCCCCGCTGACCACCAAATTCTGCAGGGAAATCAGTGAAAGTTTCTTCACATAGTCGGTATGGACGTTTTGAAACTTGTGAACGTCATTTTCGTCGTTTGTGTCCAAGCGAATGAGCTTCAACGAGAGATCCGCCAGCGCAGTCACCAACAGCCTGTCCTTGTCCACGAGCTTGATGTCATTGATCCAATCAAAGTGAGTGTTCCTGTTCAGCACTGCCAGCGAATCGTATCGACACTTTAGACTCTTGTGTTGCAACAGCGTCAGCAGAATCGCCGTTTCCAACTTCAAAAGCTGTTCGTTGACATCCTGGCAATCCTCCTCTGGCAATGGGCTTTCTTCGGCTTCGGGCTGTCTATCCAGACTCCACACCTTCACAACTCCATCTCTGCCTCCCGTGAACAAATGGCCAGTATGGGCCAGAAGCTGCATGGCATTGATGGGAAGTATGTGGTTTTCATGGTTGCCGGTATCTCCTAGCACGTATGAGAGGCCTTTTCGGACTCGAGCCATGAAGAAGAGTTATGGTTGTATGTAGGCGATAGGAGTCCGAGACTACATGCCTCATTGTGGGGGTGAGGCCGGCATCGACACCAGATGCATTTTATACTCAATTGAGGTGATACAAGAGGAACTATACTTTTATTTCGAATCTACTTTTTTCTCTTTTTGTCTTTTCATAAAATCATTCGCTATGTGAGCTGCTGTGGTACTGCGCGTTCTTCCGTAGGTCTTAGCTAGAGAGACTATGGTGGCTGGGCCTCAATTGCGACCTCAAAGAAGGTGTAATCATTGGCAGTCGATTTTGTCCACGGCCAAATATCAGTGCACGGGATTTATCAGTGAATGGCCGAGAATGACTTGAATAGTTGGTCTGATTGCGACTGGTGCTAGGTACTGCGGGGCCCAGTCTTGAGCTTGAGCCGTTCCTAGTTCTTCAAATGATTGCCGTTGCTTGTTTTTTGGATGATTGCAGATATGTAGCGATGACTGAAAACGGAAGTTTTTCATGACGGAATATCCATTAACGGTTCAGGCTCCTCAATCACGCCAGTAGTCCACTTTGGTTCTCCGACATCCCCAGCAACGTACTTACCTAAGGGACAGCATCTTCAACTTCACTAATCTCGATAGGCCATTCATAATTGCACCTTTAGCTCTTATCGTTCCTAGACTTCTCGTACTCCTTCAAGGCGCTCGTGAGTGTGTCGTTCTTCCGGGTCACCATGTACATGTCGGAGGAATTGATCACATTACGACCGGCGTGGTCCGCAAACAACTCCAAGTCTGTCCCTAACGAAACAATTTGATTGTACACGATCTCAACCAACGATGCGATGAAGGAAGGGCTGGCCGATACAGACAATTCGCCTGTCTGTTCCTCCACCATCTTCGCCACACTGAGGTAAACCGAGGCTTTGAGTTGTGCTTCTAGGTCCTCCATTGTAGCTGGTACTGGAAGAATATGATGATGGATGTTCCAAGCGTGTGCCCTTGATCAATATGGGGGGTTTTCGTTATGAACCTTCCAGAGGTATTCAGCGCCCTCCAGTCTTCCAACCAATGGTGTATTTATGGAAACAGGTCA